GGAATCTCCACGACTGCAGAAGGTGTCTCCACAAGACAGCCTACCTTCATCGGTTCCGTTCATTATTGACACGCAGTCGTCCCTCACAAAGAAGGGAGAGGCCTGAAAAATCTCCTTCACCTGTAGTTCAAATAAAAGCTACATTCAGAGAAATATTTTTTGAGCTGGAAACCAAGTTTTTTAAAATTCCAGTTTTACACTACTGCTCCTCTTCTTGGGCTAAATCCTCCTGACTGCTGCTCACGACTTTGTTTGAAGTTCAAGAGGCCAACAAGCATCATCTTTACACGCGGGCTCTGCAGTTGGGTGCAGAGACAGGAAATGGATGTGTGGGTTTTCAAGGATGAAGCCTGCTCAAAAGTGCCATTAGCAAGGAATACAATGGGTAGGAAAGGGACTCCAGTTTACTTTGCTGCAACTGGTGACCCACAGGGTACTATACATGCATGTGAAAGGCAGGAGATGGACAGCCTAGCTTTCAGGAATGTCCCAGGGAACTGCATTTCCAACAAGAGCATATTGGCTGATAATGATCCTCTATACCCTATCCTACATGAGGCAGCAGAGCTCTAGCTTTGCAGGGTCCTCTAAAGTTTCAGCTGAAATTCAGTGCGGAAAAGTATTGGCCAGGCTGCAGGCAGCAGAGACTTTGATTTCAACCACCCCCCATTTCTTCCTTCCAATTATTGCTTAGAAAAAGAGTACACTCAGTGCACACTTAATAAACTTTCCTGCAGCTCAAAGGTCTAGAATACGTTGTTTATTTTTGTAATATTTTAAAATATTAAATGTATTTTACATGCCTAAAAATATAATTTACATTGTTTTCAATCAATATGAAGGAGCGACCTTGCAGCAGCAGGTTGACAATGTGGCCAATCAAACAGTAGAGAGCTTTTCTCAAAATAGAACCATCCCAGTCAAACCCACCGCTAAACATGACCAGTAAGAACAGGCCTGTAGTTACTGTTAGCAGGATGTCACTGCATTTGTTATGTTATCTGTCATATCCTGGTTTACTTGGAGCTGCCATCATTCCTCTGTGCTTGCAACTCACACAGCTTCGAGACCCCAAGTGCATTTGAGATCAGGTGGCTCTGCACTGTTTTCGGGGTTAAACAATGGGAATTGACTCATGTACACAAAAAAATACGCACATTACACAGAACCAATCAGGGTTTGCTATAAAATTTCTGGCAAGCAAACAGAAAAACAAGAAATAGTACCTTATCCAGCAACTTTTGAGCTTTCTCTCCTGGCAGCAACCGTAGGCCAGCTGTGGCTTTCAGGACCAGAGGAGTAAACTTCCATAGCTCCATAGGAACTTCCTTCTTTGCCACCTCCAGGAGCTCTTCTATGCCCTGGGCACTCTGTGAGCAAAAAAAGAACAAGAAAAGGCATCTTAAAAACTCTTTTGAAAGGGCAAAAGGGTGATCAGAGACTCAATTCACTGTAAATGTGAAACAGAGACAAATTAAAAGCACAAGGGGCCAGGAGAAGGTGTAGGACTCACTATCTCCTACAGCGTTAAGTCTTAGTGGATATAACAGATATTATCAAGCTACAGGTCAAACCTGAAAGAGTCCCTTTTTCAAACAGTGACATAGAACTCTATCACTGAATGTTTTGGCTACAGAGGGCTCAAAAGGCAGTATGACCAATTCCTGGAAAACAAGGGCTTTTGGAGCCAGTAAAACGCTACAAGCTGGGTGTAAGTCTGGCTCAGGGAGTGCCTAAATTCCTGCGAGCTTGAAGGTAAGGGAGACAGAAGAGAAATCACTTAAATTACCTTTTCGACATCATCAGCATATGCAGATAGACCTGGTTTCAGTGCTTTAAACGTCTCATGGGTTAATTTGGGAGTTTCTGTTCAAAAGCAGTATTCCAAAATAAGTAACGGTACAAATAATTTTGCATACACAAAATCATTTAACAAATTACATTACTACGTGCTAATGGCAGTTAGTTGAAGCCTCTGTCTAATGAACTATCAACAGCACCTGACCTCTAAATACAGCCCTTGCTATGGAATTAGATCCTGAGAAAACCATTTTTAAAGTCATGACTGGTTTTCAGGTGCTGGTGTCCACTATATTCTTTACGCATATCAGACAATGGGTTCAAGTTGTCTTTGAGGCCTTACACCCGCCAAGTGCAGCTTTTCAAACTGCACCTGTAACAAAGGCTCCAAATTTCAGCATGCTCTGTTCTGACTAAACTTGGTTCCAGCAAACACTAGTGGAAGCTTTTCCTTTTTTTTCAATAACAGCAGAGGGAACCAGACTTAAACATATTGCAGACCTGTAGCCCTACATGCACCTGAAATCAAGACAACACAAGCCTGACACACTGTCATCCTCCTCCTGTAGCCAACTACACTCTATAAAGTTTGCTGCAATATATTCTGAAATTATGTTTAAAGAAAAGCAGGCAAGGAAGCAGCGAAGACTTGAGAATACACTAAAAGACTGCCAGTGGACTGTTGTTTAACACCTTTGTTGGCTAAGCCTTACAACAGCCCATTATGCAAACCTACCTTGCTCCCCAGAGGTCAATCACACCATACACCACACTGCTAACCCTGAAAACCTTCAGGTCACTTACTAACATAGCACTCACACAAGTTTTTTGATCTTTAAGACTTTTACAAATAGGAGCTGACAACATGTAAACAAATGAAGCTTAGTACTCCAGAGGAAAACTGGAGATTTTTTTGTACACTTCTGTCTCACTTCTGAGTAGTTTTTGTCCAGATGTAATACATAGCAATTTTAATTGAACAATTTACAATTTTTGTTTTATTTTACAGTTTAAATCCAACACTCAAGCCAAGGATGCACTAAACCACACACTGCAGAGAGAAGCAGCTCACTAGCATGAACTGGAGACAGCCAACAACCTCATGGTGAAAGTTTGGGGAAATAAGGAAGTTTGAATTTATAATCTTCTCTTCCACCAGTGTGATGAAAAATTGCCCTTCTTCAAGCCACCACTCTAAAAGTACAGGTGCTATTTAGTTCACATTCTGACATTACAGCATTTTCTTCTTGTTGAACGTTTCGTAATTTCATCCAAGCATATATGCCTGAATCATAATATAGATGACTCTCTAGAAAGAGCTGAAGCATGTTTGTTCCAGTAATCTCTAGAAAAGAGTCATCAATAATCTGCTCCATAACGTTATGGAAGACTTAATCTATCAAGCAATGAGCAGGACATACCTCTTGGCTGCTGTGTAAATTTAAATATATGGATGCGAGTTCCTGTGCTTCCTGCGTCAAACATAATTCCATAAAAGACCGAGAGATCTGTGGTCATTGCCTGATGGTTCAGTTTATCTCCCCTGCTTTCAGCAATTCCTTCTGTTGCTCCCATGAGTGGTTTGGAATCCAAGCGCCATTTTATGTATGCAACATAAATAGCTATGCATGCCGAAATCCCAAAAGCGAAGAACCGCTTTGACATCTTCATGGCTTCCATCTATCAGATGTTTTGTGTCTTCCCTTTATCACAGAGAACAGGTGGTTCCCACATCACTCCTACATCCAACAGAAGAGAAAAAGTCTGTTTTATTTTCTAAACCCGATTAACGGATCTAAGAGTATGATGCCTACAACACTGAATGCTCCCAATTGTTCCAAAGGAACACATCCTCCTTCAGCATGTCATTGAGATCTACAGCTAACTTTGAGGCATGGAGCAGCATAAATCTTCTTTTCCCCCATTGCTACAGAGGCCTTAGAGGCAGAGAAAGGAGAGTTCAGAGAAACTAAATACAGTAACTGAGGTGGGAAGGAACCTCAAGAGGTCTCTCATCCGATCTCCTGCTCACAGCATGGGCAGCTATAGGGCTCCTCCATGTTATCCAACTCATCTTGAAGAAATCTGAGGACGAAGATCCCGCAGATCCACTGGCACTTATCTTTGTGAATTCCTGGATGGTGAAACAGGTCCCAGAAGACTGGACAAGGACAATTTTTTAAAAGGCAAGAGGGAGTTGAGTGTTCTTCTCTCCCATGTCCAGTACCAGGAAAGAAACCAAAGCAAAGCACAATGCAAAAAATCTACAAGCACTCACATGACACCATTCAGATGATTAAAAAACAGTCAGTGATAATTTATGGGGAGCAAAATTACATATTATTTTTCCTTTTTTGTTAAGGAGTAATGAAGAGAGAACAAACCAAACAACGAAGTTGAGTTAAACAAGGTTTTGACACACGTGTAATTTGTTGGTGATATGAATTCAGGAGGCGTACAGAAGGTGTGAAGGGGAGGAATTTAAAATCAAGGTGATTACAAGCATATTGGGTAAGACAAAATTTCATAAAAATGGAGAAAAGCTAAACCACAGGCACAAATACACATGAAGAACAGATCAGTGTGAGGGAAAGGGAACTGTAGGCTGTCATGACACAGAAATCAGGAAGATGGCATTGCAAAAAAAAAAATAAAATCTTTCTGGCTTCTACCAGCAGGCAGAGACATGCAGGTGGCAATCGCTGCACGTCTAGGGGATGATCACTCCAATCCTTCTGGTGCCAGAAAGGCCTCAACTGCAGCTACACGAGAGCTAAATGTCACAGGAAGGAGGAAAGCCGCAGGGGTTTTGTGTCTTTGAGGAGACTCAAGCCCCACGGCAGGAAAGGGGAGACTGAAAGGATGAGGGGGAGGCCTGGAGGCGCAACAGTCTGGAAGCACTGCCACCCTACCGCCGTCTGCCTGAAGAGAACTGGGATTGTCCTTTCCCTGCCTTTGTCAGGGGACGCCGAGATTTTCCGCAAGGGAAAATCTTCCCGCCTGCGCCGCCGAGGATCGGGAGGGCACGGGGCGCCCCCCGCTCACACACGTCCCGCCGCCCTCGCTCTCTCACTCCCTCCCTCCTTCCCTCCCTCACTCCCTCACGCACCCGCTCACGCCGCCCCCGCCGGCCCCGCCATGGCGCCGCCGCTGCCCGGCCTGCGGGCGGCCCCGCTTCCAGCGCGCAGGCGCGGGGTGGGCCCCGCGCTCCGTGAGGGGAGGCCGGTTTCGCAGCGGGGGAGACCCCCAGGGATGGGTGCTCCCGGAAAATGTGGTTAAAGGAGGAGCAAAAGGCCGCAAAATCAGAGAGGTATGAGGAACGGTGTTGAAAAATGTGGAATATGTCAAAATTACCGTAAGTCAGGGTGTTATTTGATGTTTGATCTTTGTGTATTAGCAAGAAATGAAACTTAATCAGTGGAACAGACAGAAACAAACAAGCTCTAGGGATGATATACATCCAGACACGAGCTCTAAAGCATGATGTAAATCAAGAAGCTGCTGTATGTCAGTAGAACAGGTGGTAGTTAGCATCCCTCAGTCAAGGACACCCTGGAGCTAACAAGCTCTAAGGACAAAGTAAATGAAGATGTTGATGTATATATTGTCAACTTGGCAAAAGACTCGAGGTCCATGTATCCTATAGCTGAACTATCTTCATTATAGTACTAAAAATCATGCCTACAGGTGAAAAAGGTCCTCCCCCAGCAAAGACCCTTCCCCTGAGCATGTGTAGAAGTTAGATAGGATTACATAATTTGTATGATAATTACTAATCGATACTAATAGAGGAGCTGTACTTGAGAGGCTACTAACACTAAATTTCTGTGTATAAAGAATGGCATGGAAAGTCTGGAAGGGCGTCCTTGATTTGTGGAATACCACCGAGCATCCGAACTTGCACAGCTATGAAATAAATAAGCAGTGTCTCTCTTGAGTTTGGTTGAGTTTGGTCTCTCTGATTATTGGTTTGTTGCACACTGGGTAAGGAATCCAGTTTTTGTGGACAAGAGGAGCAGTCCCCAGGCTGAGGGGAGGTGGGGCAGGGCAGGGCTTGTGCGAGCAGAGGGAGAGGCCCTGTGGCCCAGGGATAATGCCACCAGGAGATGGCTGGCAGGACTGCCAGGCACCCTCTGGGCCCTGGTGAGAGCCTGCCAGGAACTCTTGACCTACAAGTTTGGGCCAGCTCTGATGTGGGAAGTGTGGGTAGATGTGAGCAAAGGAGGCTCCATGCCTTTCCCCATACTTCGTGTTCCTTTAACAGTTTTTATGCTTGAGTAGCTTCCTTAATGGCTCTTCTGCCATCTAGATAATTTTATCTTTCACCAGCTAAAATTATTCCTGCAGCAGCAGCTTTCTGTTCCAGCCCATCTGGAAGAGTGTGTAGAGGCAGTTTGTGAGCGACACCCTACAACTACATTAAAGGAGGTTGTGGTGAGGTGTGGTTTGGTCTCTTATCCCAGGCAACAGGTGATCATCATCATCATCATCATCATCATGGCTAGGCTTCGCGAACGAAGATTTGGGAAGATGTGGGAAGGGCTCTACCCACGTTTGCTGCAAGCGCGTTGGTGGCTGAAAAGGCCAATACGAGATAGGCATGTCCGGAACAGGTGATAGGACAAGGGGAAATGGCCTCTAGTTGCACCAGGTGAGGTTCAGCTTGGATTAGGAAAAGTGTCTTCACTGAAGGAGTGATAAAGCATTGGAAAAGGTCTTCCAGGGAAGTGGTGAAGTAACCATCTCTGGAAGTATTCAAAAAATGGGCAGACCTGGCCCTTCGTGATATGGTTTAGTGGTCATGGTGGTATTCAGTCAAAGATTGGACTTGATGATCTTGTAGGTCTTTTCCAACCTTAATGATTCTATGTGTGAGAGCACTACAGCAAACGCAAGGCATGAAGAGATGGAGACTGATTTGGAAATCAGATGCAGAGCAGAAATCTAAGCCATGATGCTCTTGGTTGCGTGCAAGAGGCTCACACCCTCCCAACAAGTCCCACCATTGCCCCCGCAGCTCCATGTGTGTGCAGGTGTCTGTGATGAAAGACCCCGCTGGGGAATAAGTGCAAAGGTCTCCCAGGGTGTTATTTATTCCAGCAAATGACTCCCTCATAGCAGTGTTTGGAAAGTAAATTAATTTTGTGGGTTTTTTCCCCAGCCCTGTGAGTAGCAGGAATTGAGGAATTTCAAATGATGGTTACTGTTCAAAACAAACTCCCTGTCTGTTTTACCCAGGCAAATGAAACTGATCTTTCCGACTATTTTTCTAATTTGTTTTAATGTTGTATAATTATTTTTTAAAGGAATCATGCTGTTAATGGGAGAATCTTGCAAAGAAAGATTAAGATGTAAAGAATTAAAGTTTAAGATTTGCATCTCCTCTGCATTGTGATTGCAACAGACTGTGTGTTTAGTTTCTATGGTGGTTTGTAAGCAAGACCCTAACAGTGTGGGTTTACCACAAAAACCTGTTTGCTGGCAGTTCGAGAAAAAAACCAAACAGCTGAGAATGCTCTGGTAATTCCTGCAGGTGATAATCCCAAAATCGCACCACTGGGACTATGGCGATAGTCCCAAAATGTGGCAGCATTCCTGTCAGTCACAGCATCTCAAGAGCTGCAAACCCAACAGGAAGAAGATAGACAGGAGAACCTCAGGAAAGATACGGCCTGACTGCTAGGTAAATACCCTTTATCCCTGGGGCTGAGGGGAGGATGACCCTTGAAGCTGGGTTTCTAGTCTTGGTGGGTCTGCAGCATGGCATCACCTTGTTCTGACCCAAAATAGGAGATGCTGACAGATTAAAGTTTTGTGTTTTTTATGGGTGTTGCTGTGCCAGCTGTAGCTCAGTGATAACTAGTGTCAGTGTGAAGGTACAATCAATGCAAATTAGCTGGTTTCCAGTTAGCTTTGATCTGAGTGATCCCTTTTTGATAAAACAGCAGAAAAATGGGAATAGGGAATAAAGATACTACAGGTTTTGGGCCATGGAGCTACTCAGGTCTGGAGCTGTCCTTTAAAGGAAAAGACCAGGGAGCCCATCTCAAATCCTGTGGTTGTCACTGGGATTTTGGGCTGCTGTGAAAACTCCCACTAGGAGCAAGTTTCTGGAAACTCAGAACAGGACTTGAGTTGGTTACATTTAGAAATAGACTTGTTACAAGCTCAAGCTTGTCTGAGCTCCTTACTAGGGAGGGCCTGCTACGTGAATAGCCTGTTTCTTCTTTCAGGTTGCAAGAAAATAGGAATACTTCTGAAAGGTTACTGGGGTTAAAGGACTACTTGCATTTTTTCTTCAAGGCAAAAGATTTAGGTGATGTCAGTATTGTTTTCCTTAGCAATGTAATGTTTTTCAAGCCTAAATTAAAGATGCTTCTGTCACCGATTGCTAAGTCAGCAAAACAAGGTGGTCTTTTCCCTTTTCACTAGGGAAGACAGAAGATGTCACGAAGTGAGGCCCTTGTGGAAAAGCAGGTCAGGCCAGCAGAGAGCAGTATATTGTCAAGAACACCATTTCCCCAGGGTCAGGGCAAAATAGTACAGTATTTATTTCTCTTAGTTGAAATATCTTGCATATATGTTCATAAACAGTCCTGCAGTTAGGACTAGAGATTACAAAGAAATGGGAATGTAATGCTGGGTTGTTTTTTTTTTTTTCCTTTTTTGTGTTCATGGGAACAATTCTCCAGCTGGGGACCTGGGATGGAGTGTAGGTGGTTTAAAAAGTTTTAGATTTGTTTCTGAGACTTTGTCACACGCAGTACTGTGGTCATTCTTAGAATTAAGCCATATGGTCTGAGATTTGTAACAAATTTTCAATTATGATGTCTATCTGTTATACGTATAATAATACGTATTATATACGTATATATAATATACGTATATATATATTATACGTATATATAATATACGTATAATATATATCATAGCTTGGTGTATTATATATATCATACATGAGCTAGAATGCAGGTCATTGGGAACCAGTTTGGGAACCATTTGGGAAATTATCTCTGTCACTGCAGTGTTATAAGAACAATTGTGTTGGATATATGAATGAGAATTAATAAACAGGCATCAAATACAAATTGCACAAATAGGAGAATCTGTATAATTAAAAGGCTATTTCACCAATTCGGTCATGACTATCATGAACAGTAACAAGATTATGTTGTAGATAGAAGTACAAGGTCATTATTTTTGGCACAGCGTGCCCACAAACTGCACGTAATCGGCATGTTGTTTTGTGCAGGCCAGGTAGTAACATGTGGTAAATGACACTGACTGGTTCATCTCCTCCCATCCTCAGAGGCACATGGGTGTTCAATCAGCTGACATGTACCCAGCAGCAGAGTTTGGACTGCTGTTTGTGGACCCGATTGCACATGTGCAGTGTGGAAAACCTGCCCTCTGAGAGCTGCACAGTTAATTAAAGCTCCTTATGCAGGGCGTATTTGCCTTGGTGCTCCCACCCCTTCCCTGCCTGGGGACTGGTTCTTCCAGGCAGCAGCGCAAGAGGAATCTGTTCCCAGCTTGTGGCTGGTGCCACTGAAGCTGGTGCACGGGTGCTCCCACACCAGCTTTCCAACTGCTGTTGCTCTGCATTTCAGTTCCCGGCTGTGTCCTGGGTCTCAGGCGCTCTCCAGCCACTTAACTAGTAATGCTGTTAATAATACTGCAAGTTTAAGGTACAAAGATCACCTCAGGTAACTCCCTGAGATATTACATTGGACAATTCTGGAGTTCCTCTGCTAACAGCAGAATAGGAAGCCAGAAGTCCTGTTCCATGGCAAACTGAGTTGGGATTGTCTGAAGAAGAAAAATATTTGGAAATACTAAGGAAAAGTAACAGCAACTATAGCTTAAATTTCCATCCAAGATCCATTTGCTCCCTTCATCTCAAAGACCAAATTATATCAGTGCTGACCTTTAGCAGAAAAGTGTGATGGTCATTGAACCCTGAACATTAAATTTGTTTCCTTGTTGCAAATCACGCCCCTGTAGTGTTTGCTGTGGTGATCTCCAGATCCTCCCCATACCCCTGAGCAAGATAGCTAGATTTGCATTCCTGCCACTTTTCTGAAACCCCACATGGCACCTGCTGCTCTCTGATCCCCTCCACTGTGGTTCTTCATCATTCCTTCCCAAAATTTCTATCAAGGCAGGACTAGGCATGTACTGTGGCTTCTCTAGAGCTGCATCTGTGCGTAGTGCAGAGGGCCATGGTCAAGCATACTAGAGTGATACTGAGCTGTCATTTCCTTTCCTATGGAGGAAACCTAAATAAAATATTTCTCCATCTCCCCTCTGGATACTCACCAGTTTTCGACAAACTCATAGAAATTAAACGCCTTTGACATGTTTCTGGCGATTTTGGCCAGTAGTAACTGAGTTCAGTAATTTTGGAGGGGCAGTTCTGTGCTTGTATCAAAGAGGATGTCTCCCAGGGGGTGTCACTGGTGTTTTTGTTAGTGGTTGTGGCTGCAGTTAGACAAACCAGAAAAACTGAGCAGGTCTCTGCTGGTTCCTCACTGCTGCTCACAAGCCTTGTGCAGAAATGAACTGTAACTTTGGAAATGCTGCCTCAACTGGTCTTTTTGGTGTCCTACAGGCTGAAGTTCTTCACAAATTTATCATGACCTACATAATTGACCTATATTATGTGTCTGTTTGTTAAATAGATTACACTAATTAGAAACATGAATGGGGATGGGTTAGCAGTTATTTATTTATTTATACTGAGGTGTGTGCCTGTTGTCTGAAATGATGTATGGGAGGATCATTGCCAGACTTTCCCCCTCTGCCTCCTCCATATTTGGCATGTACCATGGATTATTGGAATAAAACATTAATTGTTTCTGCTTTCAGAAAAAAGAAGTAAAATTGTTTTTATTACTCTTCTTCAAGGGGATATATCCACCAGCATGTCTGTATGCAAGAAAATTAAGCATGAGGGAGAAAACATAGCAAATTTGCAAGCCCTTGATTTGTAGGGCAGTGAGTAGGGGCTGAGTGTGCTTTTCACTTTGGTCACTTTATTGAGACCTTTCTGGCTGAGAAACAGCATTACTACACCTTGCTGATGTTTGAGCGTTCTATAATGAAAGGTTTTATTTCTCCTTGCACTTGTGCCACACTTACAGACTGTTGGAACTATTTGAAATCCCGGGTGCCAGTGAAATGTGGTGAGTTTAATGGAACTGCACCTGCTTCCAGCAAGTACGAATTTTGCTTTTAATGTTTTAAACTGACGTCCAAAGCCTGGCTGATTTGCCTCTAGGGGCAGATTTGGATCAAGGCTTTAAAACAGATGTCCCCTGCTACAGACCCCCTCAGTTGTATTGACAATGCTGTTGGGCGGTTTCCACTGCTGTGTCCTCATTCGTATAGAAGGGTGTGCAGAGTGTAATCTAATTAAGGAGAATTCGCCAGATTTTTTTTCATGTCTGCTATCATTGTGTTGTTAACTTCTCCAAATCCATTAGAAATGTATCCATCTGTGGGCTGTCACATAGCACTGTGTTGAATATTATCCGTAATTCTTCCAAGAAGCTTGTTTTGGAGAAAAAAATAGGTGGGGAGGATAAGTAAAGTGAAAACAAATTGCTACCATTTTTAACTGTTCACAATTTCAGAAATTGTTCCTTGTGTGTCATGTTAGGGATGCATTTCCAGAGAGTCAAAAATACATATTTTACCAGTAGGTTTGTGGGCAGAATGTTTATTCAAATATGTATATTTTTTGTTTGGTAAAGTGGTTGTCAAGTGGCAGAGGTTTGTCTGGTGGAATAGACAGCCCATGCCTTTAACAGGCTTTTGTCATAATCTTGGAATCAATTGTGAATATTCTGAGGGAGAAGAAAGTAATTTCTCACATCATTCTGCTTCCTCTGTAGAAGATTGATCCCAGCCTTTTCTATAGGGCTTTTAAAAGCTATTACTGTCTGATGTATGACATTAAGGTTCAAAAAACCAGCTTTTGGTAAAAATGCTCTGATTTAAAAAAACTTTTTGAGCATGATATTTGAAACCTAGGATAAATTAGCTTCAAACTGACCTCTTGAGGTTCCCATGTTAAAACCAGGGCCAAATTTGAAGTTTGCTTGAATCTCTCAAAGTGTTGTCCAGCTGAGTGTTTAGTATCTCCAAGAATGGAGGCTCCTGGGGCCCTGTCCCAGGACTGAAGGTGAAATGCGTTGCATGATACCTAGTAGGAAGTTGCCGCGTTCCAATTTGTGTCCACCACTTCCTGTGCTGTCACTGGGATCTCTGGAAAAAGCCAGTCTCCATCTTCTCTTCTTCAGGTAGCTGCAGATAGCAATAAGTTCTCTTTGCCTCTCTGTCTCCAAGTTGAACAAAAAAGTGTTGAATGGAGCGGTAGGGACTGTTCCCTCTCCTGCTGACTCTCCTTTTGCTAACTCAGCCCAGGGCATGGTTGGCCTTCTTTCCTGCAAGAGGATGCTGCTGATCCTAGTCAGTTTGGCCCCCAGGGGCTTTTCCATGGAGCTGTCCTGGGACAGGACTTAGCATGTGCCTTTGCTAGACCCTGTCAGCCCACCTCTCCAGCCTGTCCAGGTCCCTCTGGAAAGCAGCACTGCCCTCCAGCTTGAGCCAGGGTACATTGCATCCTGTCTTTAGGTGGTTAAGACGATCTAGATAGTATCGACCCCTGAAAGATGCTCTTAATATTCAGCTCCTAGTTAGACTGTGACTACAGACAGTAGTTGTGTGATTTCGGCAATGATTTGCCTCTTCATATGATTACTTGTTTTCACACTGTTTATCTTCATGATGAATTTTCTGTGTGAGTCTTATGATATTTTCAGTGACTATCGTATAAAGCATGTCAGAAGCAATTTAAAGTTATTACAAAGAACAGAAAACTTTCAGTGTCTGTCTTTTCTTAATATTGATAATATTCTTTTCCTTGATATCTGTAGAAATGGAAATAGGGAAATACAGCTGGCTGCCAAGTCCCTGCTATGGTGTAACTCAAGATGTCCACTTATAAAATTAAATATGGCCTGAAGAGTTACTAGCACCTGTTTCTTCATTGTACAAAAATGTGACTGGAAAGGTGATGTTTTAACAGGTTAAATATTTTGGTTGCATATCTCTGTGAATTTACAAAAGCTATTTTTTGTTTCAGCTAACAAACTGAAAATTTCATCAGTTGTAGAATAGTAGCTGAAATGCCCTAAATGGACCTATTTCTGAAATTTTCTTATTATTGTCTTTAGTGAATAATTGGGCCATAATTTCCAGGCAGTCTGTGTGTTGGGTCTCTGTGCAGAAAGCAGTTGCAAGGAAGCTTGCCCAGAGGAGTAGGTAAGTGTCCTGTATGCAACCACGGAGCTGGTCTGAAGAGGGCTACTCAGCCCTGGAGAGATAATGAGAGCTTGGCTTACAGCAAAATTTGTGAGAACAGGGAGGAATCAGCATTTACACAAAATTTGTAATCAAAGCCAGGCATTGGAGAGAGTGGGGTGGGAAACAAGGTAACAGCCTTCATCCTTGCTTACATGGGCTTGAGGGCTGAGTCTTCAGGATCAAAGAGCAGATAAGACCCAAAGCTTCACCTTTGCTTGTGAAGTTGTGTTCCTCTGACTAATCTGGGAAGCTGAGATAGTGAGGACCAGAACCACTGCTGGTCAGTGACTGGGAAGGGGAAGGAGCCGTGGCTATGTGGCCTAATGAGAATGCAGGAGCTGGGACAATAAAGGGAGAAGCCTTGGAGCTGTGTCCTGCTGACCTGGCTGCACCAGACTACTCCTGCCCCTCAAGTCCTTCTGTCTGGCCCATCAGAGCTACCAGAGAAGCAAAGCATAGGAAAACTGAGGACTTTCCCAGAGCCAGTAGAGGTTGCTTGTGTTAGGGACCATGGAGCCAGAGCAGGAGATTGGCAGAAGTCTGCTCAATAAACATACCCACTGACCTGCAGTCAGCAGGGGAAGCCCTCCTTGAGGGCAGTTCAGCTGTTTGAAGAGCACAGCATCCCAGAGGGATGGGGGAATCAGGTGCTGTATTTTCCCTTGTGTTCCTAGAGTAAAGAGAAAGAAAGAAAGGAGTTGACCTGGCACCAGCCGTTTGCCCACCTCCCATGAAAACCACGTCACCTCTGACTTGTTCTCATGAATAACGGGAGTTTGCATTTACCAAGTGAAGTGATCAGCCCCTCCAGCCTGCTATTCATTTTTCCAGTTAACAATCAGTTGCCTGAAAAATGGGCCAATCTGTTTCTTGGGGAGCTGCATAGAAAAATCCACAAGGCAAGCCAATTAGCATACCAGTCCTCACTGTCTAGGGAATTTAATTTAGTTATTTGGTTGATCTAAGTACTGATATTTTGTTGTTTTGTTATGGAGCATATAATGTTTGTTAAATGGCTGAAATCCCCCGAGGCCCATATGCTGCTGATAGTCTCTGCGTCCTCCTGAGCCGGCAGAGGCAATAAGGCAAAACTGTTTTGTCCCGCACATGGCCCCAGTATTTTCCTGGCACAGCACGGCAGCTGGACGCAGGCAGAAAAAACCTTAGCCACCCAGGGTGGGCGGGATAGCTTCCCTCCAAAATAGTTGCACACTTGAGCAAGCCCATTGTCTGTCCAGAAAGCATTTCAACCGCCTCTTACCAGGCAGCCGCCACTACAAAAAGTACGCAGAGACAGTGTTTGGACAACCTGTCTACACAGTGTATTGTGCGGGGGCAATTAGTTTGCAAATTGCCCGTTTGCACATCCACACATGAATTAGTTACATTGATCCCACAGGATCTGTTTTTCTTATAATTACTGTTAAGGAAGGCCCATGAATAAAAAAGGTAATTTGGACAAACACTTTTCTCCCCCCAAGCAGGAAGTTTGAGCCTCTTCCTCGAGGAGACCAGGCAATGGATGGAGTCCCTAGGAGGAAAAGAGTGGTTCCCCAGGATATTGCCTCCGTGTGTTTCTAATTCTCTGGGTTGATGCTAGTGCAATGGTGGCATGAGTTGTGAAAGAAAATATATGACAGCTGTCGTCTTGTACTGCCATTCCTGGTGCACATGCTCTGTGCTTGGAGATGTGACCCCAATCCTGTAACTGAACTGCTCTTTCGTTTCTGGAGAAATCTCATGTTGGGATTTTAGCAGCCAAAGAAATGCCAGAGCCTGACTGATTTAATGACATTAGTTTTATTCTGGTCTGAATTTGCTGGAGCTGGTGGAGAGTCATGTTGGAAGGAAAACAGTCTAACTGAATGGACAATCCTTCTCAGCATTCACACCACCTTTAGTTCTCCGGTTCAAAAACCCAAACTGCAGATCACTGCTGCCTAGTCAGCAGAAGGAGAATATAGATTAGATGTGCCATGGTTGAGGAGCTGTGTCACTGCCAAGTGAAGAAGCTATGGGAAGAAGTGAATGAGCTTCATAGTATTTAGGCGAATGAGCAAGAGAGGGACTGATTATTTTCAGAGATGCTACAGTCTCAAGACTTTTGAGATTCTTGAACCTCTGTTGTAATGGAGAAGCAGGTGGACTCAGAACCCTGCAGGGTAATTACTCAAAGGACTGTTACTCAACAGTCTATTAAAGATGAAGACTGGAAGTGGGTCACTGCATGTACCGGGAGGAAGCTTCCTCCTTCTTCTCAAAATTTGACAGGTATGAGTGGTACCTTCTGCAACAGGTATGAGGCTCTGAAACTAGAGGGCCAGACAACTGAGTAGGTGGGCAAAAGTACTTCTGGGATAGTGAGGCCTCCTAAAACAACACCGCCTGTACCCCACATCAAGATCTCCTCTGCTAAGGGGAAAAGAAAAGAAGGATAGTTGTACTAGGAGATTCCCTTCTAAGGGGAATGGAGGACCCAACATGCAGACTGGACCCAACTCACAGGGAAGTCTGCTGTCTCCCAGGGGCTCAGATAAGGGACATTACTGAAAAATCTCCTGTCTGGTAAAGCCCTTGGACTACTACTCACTATTGGTTGTTCAAACTGGCAGCGACAAAATAACAAAGAGAAGTCTGAGGGCAATCAAAAAAGACTTCAGGGCCCTGGGACGATTGGTAGAGGAATCAGGAGCACAGGCAGTGATTTCCTTAGTTCTTCTGGTAATGAGGAAGAGGATTGATAGGAATAGGCAGATCCATCAGATTAATGAGTGGCTCTGAGGCTGGCGTAATGGGAAAAATTTGGGGGTTTTGACCATGGGATGATCTACTCAACACCTGGCCTACTGACACCTGACAGGCTGCACCTATCTCAGAGGGGAAAAGAGTTCTAGAACAGGAGCTAGCAGGGCTCATTGACAGAGCTTTAAACTATCTTCGAAGGGAGGAAGGTACAAAACCAGGCTTGCCAATGATGAGGATGGGATGGCATGCCAAAACTTGAGAAAACCAGCACTAATGGGACCACTCAGGCTGCCTCAAGAGGTTTTGGCTATAATGTACCACACCTGAAATGTTTCTACACCAGTTCCTGCAGCATGAGAAACAAATAAGAGGAGCTCCAAGCCTTGGCCCAGCCTCAGAGATTTGACATCACTGGCATAAGTGAAAGTGGTGGGATAAGTCCTGTAACTGGAGTGCCCTGTTGGATGGTTACAGGCTCTTCAGAAGGGACAAGCAGGGCACAAGAGGTAGAGGGGTGGCACTATATGTAATAGAAGGCTTAGAATGTGTGGAGCTCACAGTTGGCAATGGCACAGTTGAGAGACTCTGGGTGAGAACCAAGAGGCAAACAAATGTTGTCATGGGAGTCTGCTATAGACCTCCCAGCCAGGACGATGATGCCGACAATTATTCTTTGAGGAACTAAGGGACACTTAGTCAACTGCCCTTGTCCTTATGAGGGACTTCAATTTGCCAGAAACTAACTGAGACCACCACACAGCTGGTACTACCTGAACCAGAAGATTCCTAGAAAACCTAGATGAGCACTTCATGGAACAGGTCCTAAGGGAGCCAACTTGGAAAGGTGCCCTCCTTGGTCTGCTGCTTGTCAACAGAGAGGATCTCTTGAGCGAAGTGGAGATTGGCGGCTGCCTTGGCCACAGTGACCACAAAGTGATCAAGTTTAAAATCTCTGCCAACAGGAGGGAGAGTGCCAGCAAAACCTCAACTTCAGACACGAGGAGAACAGAATTCAGGCTGCTCGGGGAATTAGTAAGTAAGGTCCCCTGGAAAAATGTTTCTGCAGATGCTATGGTCCCTCAGTGCTGGTCACTTTTTAAACATCACCTCCTTAGGGCACAGGAACAGGCAATTCCCAAATGTCAGAAGTCAAGCAGGTGAGGCAGAAGGCCAGCTTGGCTTGAGCAGGGATCTTCTCTTGGAAATAAGGCAAAAAGGAAGGTGTATCCCCAGTGGAAGCAAGGTCAAGTGACATGAGAGGAATATGGAGATGCTGCTTGTCACTGTAGGGAGAAAGATTGTGCAGCCAAAGCTCAACTGGAGTTGAAGCTGGCCAGAAAAATGTAGGGAACAACAAAGGAGTTTTTTCAAATATATTAAGGGCAAGAGGCAGTATAGAAATATCATCGGCCTGTTAGAGGATGGGGATGGTCACCTCACAAACAGGGACAGAGACAAGGCAGAGGTGTTTAACACTTTCTTTACCTCTGTCTTCAACACAGATGATGGACCAAGGGGGTCTCAGTGCTCTGAGCTGGAGGACCATGACTGCAATAATGATCAACTCCCAGTCAACCATGAAATTGCGTGGGATCTGCTGCTCCAGCTGGATCCCTACAAAACTATGGGGTGTGATGGGATTCATCCAAGAATCCTCAAAGAGCTGTCTGATATCATTGAGAAAGCTCTCTTGCAAATCCCGAGAGGTCCCAGCTGACTGAAAGCTGGCAAACGATGTCCTGATTTTCAAGAAGGGCAAGAAGGAAGACCCTGGAAACTACAGGCCTGTCAGTCTCACTTCAGTGCCTGGTAAAGTTATGGAGAAAATTATTCTGGGAGGTATTTAAAAGCACCCAAAAGACAATGCAGTCATTGGTCACAGCCAGCACGGCTTCGTCAGAGGAAAGTCCTGCTTATCAAACCTGATTTCCTTTTATGACAAGGTAACCCACCTAGTTGATCCAGGGAAGCCAGTGGACACCATCTTTTTGGATTTCAGTAAAGCTTTTGATACTGTCTCTCGCAGTATCCTTCTGGACAAAATGTCCAGCCCACAGCTGGATAAACACATCATGTGGTGGGTGAGCAATTGGCTGATGGGTCAAGCACAGAGGGTAATAGTGAATGGGGTAACATCAGACTGGAGACCTGTCACTGGTGGGGTTCCACAGGGATTCATCTCGAGCCCTGTGCTCTTCAACATCTTCATAAATTACTTGGACACAGGACTGGAAGGAATCCTGTGCAAGTTTGCAGATGACACAAAACTGGGAGGAGCTGTTGACTCCCTTGAAGGCAGGGAGGCCCTGCAGAGAGACTTGGGCAAATTAGAGGACCGAGCAATCACCAACCACATGAAGTTCAACAAGGGGAAGTGCTGGATTCTGCACCTGGGATGGGGCAACCTGGGCTGTATGTACAGACTGGGAAATGAGTTGCTGGAAAGCAGTGCCTTGGAAAGGGACCTGGGGGTCCTGGTTGATAGCAAGTTGAACATGAGTCAGCAGTGCTTGGCAGCCGGGAGGGCCAACTGTGTCTGGGGGGAGCATCAGGCAAAGCATTGCCAGCTGGTCAAGGGAGGGGATTGTCCTGCTCTGCTCTGCACTGGGGCAGCCTCACCTCGAATATAGAAAAGCAAGTTGTGGTCAGGTGATGTGAATGTTCTACATGGACACTTGCTTTTCTTCTGGGAAATCTCAGAGCCTGCTGTGCTAGATGCTCTGTTGCACCTACATCTTTAACTTCAAGCAGTTCATCAGGGTGAAGAAAGAAAACCTAATGCTCTGAAAATACCTTCAACAGCTGTAAAGACTTTGAAAAATACTTTTTTAACAAGAATTTCCTCTTGAATTATTTTACATAGTGCATGACTTTCATTAACGTTAGTGTATTTGCACTGTGTCAGCCACTTTGTTCCTGTCCAGCCTGGCTCTGGTGGCTTGTTCTCCGACATGTAACTCTGCTCAGTTAACGTTGCTGCGCTCATCATTGCCTGTTTATTACAAGAAAAAGACATAAGCAACCCAGAGGCATTGCTGTGCAGATATATGGTATCTGATTTTCTCAGGTGCTGTGAGCCTCTGCTGCTTGCAGCTTTCAGTGGCAATTGAGTGGAGTGGGACACGTGAAGTCATGTCATGGGTCCATGTAACTAGTCAGCAGCAAGGCGTTCCAGGTTACTTGGTGTTTTCCCAAACAGACAGTACCTTGCTGAGTGAGGCCAGCAAGAGATGACCAAGGCAGTATGACTCCTGTGCTGCTTTTGCAGGATTTTTTTTTTTCACTAGACTATTTAGAAGGCAAAATGCAAGGACTCTTCCTTTCCAAGTACAGAAATTTTGAGGGCAAAAGTTGTGTCTTTCCTAACCTTCTCCTCCAGAAATTCAACATGTATTTTCTTGCACACTTATTAGGTGAGTTACCTATGGTAAATCCCCTTCTACATCTCTGTCAGTTAGTTGCCAATGGCCACACACAACAGCAAAAAAAAAAAAAAAAAAAAAAGAGAGAGAGAGAGAAAAGTATCTCTCTGCCTCATATCTTTATGTCCTAGTTTCTGATAATGTCTTTTCTGAGGGTGAATAATATTACTGTACCTCATGTACACATGACACCGTGTATGAACAGCCAAGTTCATAGTTGGCACAGTTAGGAACAGCCCATTTTTTTGGCTACTGTAAATAACTTCAGGGAATCTATGTTTAAAAATACGTCCCTTCTTTTTTATCCAAATTCATCTTGCTTCTGAGAAAGAATGTATTCTAACCATGGCATTTTATTCAACCTTTTCTTCAGCTATTTTAGGCATCATCCCAGAGGATCAGTCACCATCTTTTCCATGAAGATGCAGAGAAAAGGCTGTAGCATTTTTGAAAGCAGTAATGTATTTCTGCAGGTGTTTAAATTTGCTTGCACATCTGACCTGACCCTGTGCTATTTAGTGTTCATGTATTAATCCTTTGCAAATGTGATGAAAACTCAGTTACTGAATGTAATGTTTCTTTGCAGCTCGCTGATTAACTAAATTCTGCTGGGCTGAGGAAAGGCTGGTGTTGATATGAGGATTTAGCAGTTAAATAGATTGAAAACTGTTCAATATGGGCACCACCAATATTGTGTAACACTCATTTCTATTTAAACCAGAATGAAATAAAATTCCTGTGGTATTAGTAGCTGTAGTATTGTTTTAGCTGTAATTTAGCTATAGTATTATTTTATCAGCATGCTTACATTCTTTGAGCCAACTTGCAATCTATGGAAAAGGATCATTTGTCTTTTCTGAAACCATAAAAAGCAGGACTTCTCTGATGCTGTGTTAGCTCTCTCAAATTCTTTACACGTTGAGTCATCTACTTTTCCTCCTTGGAAAGGTAGGGAGCTGGTAGTAATGTGCAGCTTTCACCAAAAGATGTGACCACTGCTTCTCTCCTTGTTTGAAACTGCAGAATTTTATTGGCTAAAAGAAAATTATTCTGAACTGTGAATCACATCTTAACAATTAGCATGTTGTAGGAAAGCCAGCTAATGAACAGGAGATAGGCGCTCTTGGTAAACATAGAGACTTCTTTCTTACTTTCTTTGACTCTGTTAGTCACAGTCTATGTCAGAGCTGTCTTCATATTTCGGTATCTGTCCTTGCGAATTCCTGCCTGCTAGTTGGTAGCCATTGGTGTGATGATTTCCTTGGAGCTACTGCAGTTTAAAGCAATTATGTATGTGATCGTAGATCTCATCCCATTGTTGGTCCTAAGATTTGAGGAGCTCAGGCTGTGTATGGGGTAGAAGAGGACCAGGACACAGCTTTCCTGCTACAGACCACTGCTCTTTGATCATAACTGTGGTCCAAATGCTTTGGGGAATGGGTAGCTGCTGCATTTTATTAAAGACATGCAACTGAAATAATAATCGGATAAAAGGATCATTTATTGTCAAATGATTATGGAGCTGCATTATGTGATTTCATATCTTTTCCTTCAAAATCTCTGCATCTCAAACCAGCTTGTGGTTTTACTCTGTGCCATTAACACTTTGGTATTACACAGGAGTGTATTTCATATGGCAATTCAGTGGAATATGGATTATGTTATCAGGAAATAAATAAAATTTTCTCAAGTTGGCCTAGGCTCTGCTGGTGGTAATAGTGAAATTGTTTGTCCTTAAGCTATAGCAGAGGATTGGATTCTTAAAAACTGGATAGGGAAAAATGCTTTTAGAGTGATTTCTTTACAATAAAAACATGATAGTCTTAAAGCTAACTGATAATCTTTTTGAGTCCATTCCACATGAAGCAGGGGAGCAAATAGGTTCTCAGCTGATGTAAGTCAACATAGTCCCATTAGCTGACAAAGCTGGGTCAGTCCACAGCAGCTGAGGATCCAGCCCCATGACTTGGAAAGAATCATCATCTTGCTGTCTAAACTGGGGAAAAGACTGTAACAGGATTTTGTGAGAGCAAATAATATTAGAGAGCAAATAAGATGGGCCAGGGACCAAATAGGATGGCTGTTTAATTTGTCATTTATCAAGATTTTTTTTATTGGAATGTGCACCAATGGGGAGAAGTTGTCTCTTAGAGCCACTGAGGGCTGTTAACCTTTTTTAGTACTGTTTATTGTCTGTCACTGCAGTGGAGCCAGGCGCATGAATAGTACACCTTTAATAACGAAACTCCTAAGTTAATCTCCTCTAGAGGTCTGCGTGACATTACTAGCTATAATCTAACCCTTCCAGGTTATTGTAGATGCACTTACGGGCATAAAACCTTCTTTGGGAGAATTAGGTATTTTCTCATTATGCATGCTAGTAGCTTTTCACTGAATATCACCAAATTTCCATGAAAATCTGAGTTTCTCTGGCAAGTTGAAGAGTTTACCAAGTCTATGAAAAAGGATCTTAAGAATTTTTTGATGATTTGTTCTCTAGCTACCTCTGAATTAGTGAGGTGAGATACTCTCTGATGAACTGATGGAAAACGAAAGCAGTTTGTCTTAAGAACAGGCAGATGCAGGATGTGTGTGGGGAAGGAAACACTGAAGCAGAAATCCCTGCTGCATGTGGAGTCATTTTAGGACTGTGGCCTAGTGGTTGAAGGATCCACCCATCTCCGTTCCTTCCTCTGCCTGCTGGACCTGTTTGCTATGTGTTCTAGGAAAATATGCAGCTGCATGAGCTGGCCATTGACCAGCTCCTTAAAAGATGTTTGAGGTTTGCAGGGTTGCATGTAGACATCTAAAGTCTGAACCCCAACTGCTAAAGCCTGTATTGGATCTGGTCTTTAACCTATGTGTCTCAGCTCCTTTGGGGAAAATAATGCTTCATTTCTCTGCCCTTGTATATCCAGGTTTAGCAAACTCTCCAGGAAAGAGACCTTCTCTTGCTTTGCTTGTCATGCTAATAATAAACAACTGTAGCACAGAGACTAGAGTAACCACAGCAAGAGGAGCTGTGATTGCATCACTAGCAACAGCAGACATCTCCTGCCAAGGTGACCCCTGATTGTGCCACAGATGCCTTACTGATCTTGTCTCCATCTGGGACATTCAGAAATGAATGGGCAGCAGGGCTCTGTGGGTGGTGGGTGTCCAGGTGCCTGTTCTCCACCTCCAGATGCAGGCGCTGACCAGCGCCAGCTATCTTGCATTTGTCACAAGGTGGATCAGGGAAATCAGGTCACAGAAGAGACTGGTTGCAGTTCTGCCATCTCCAGAAGAGTGTGTGAGGGTCTGACAGAGTCTGACATGCCTAGTCAGTGGAAGGTTGTCCAAGGTGCTGGGAGTATTGGAGGCTCTCATCTCTCCTGGGTTATGAAAGACAAGGAGGACTCTGCTGGCAGATGACATCTCCAGTCCAGTCTGCAGGGTCTCACCTGCACTCAGCTACGGCTGCAAACCAGTGTGGTCTTGTGCTCCTCTGATATTGTATTGCTGAAATGTTTGTATTTATAAAAACCTTCATTGAGACCATTGCTGAGATGTGATTATGGGCCAAACTCTGCAACACAGTAAATGGAGCAAGGTGGTGTATACCCATTTCCCATCGTGGCTTGAGCACAACTGTGGAGGAGAAGCAAGGTGGAAGATGTTATAGTGTTTAGTACTGTGGGCTGTTTGTGTTGAGACAAGTCGCCTCCACCTTCCCTTTTTGACTAGCTCATCTCAGGTCCTGTGTGCCACTCAGCTTGGATGGCTGCCCAGCACTGGAGAAATCCCAGACCGGTCTGTGATACTCTACAGCTAGTTTTGATTTGCTTTAAATTTCATTGCTTTTTCTTTTCAGAAAATTATTCAACAGTACTTGGCTTGAAGAGGGGCTGAAATGCCATCACACATTTTGTACCTCATGAAAGAAAGTGTAATTAAGCCCCTACCTCTTAAACGCACAGCCCACATTTGAATTATCAGGGAAAGCCACCACAAGGGTTAAACACTTTATTTAGATGGCTTTGTTTGTTACGTGTGTGCTTTGCTTGTTCTGAGAATTAACAGAAGATAAGCTAAAAGTTCATTTATAAGAGTATTAAAGGATAATTATGATGGAGTAAATGCAGCAGGTCAAAAGGCATTATGGTGAACAGAATCATAATATAGGGCTTGGAAAAATAAGCTAAAATGTACAATGCCTAACATCACTCACTGAATGCCACAGAAAGTACTTCCTTGGTGTTTCTCTCTGCTTCTTCATTCCCAGTGTAAATTAAAGTACTCTGCTGTTTCAGCATGAACACATAATGGCGATCAATTGCAGTAACTTAAATTAAACTTTTGGGCAGGCATAAATATGTGACCTTTTAATATCAACGAAATGATAAAAAAGATTTGGTAGGAAATCTGTTTCAATCAGATTAGAGGAGAAGTGGGTAAAGCTGATTACAAGCCCGCTAAACACAGTATTTGGGCAGTATTTGTTCAGAAACAATAGCGTTAATTCTACTTTAACAAGTATTATCTGGAAAATCAATAATTAATGGGAACCCATTATCAACTTGTAATTTAGCACAGAGATTAAGTTGAGGAGAAGTGAAAGCGAGTGGGCAACCTGCTTTTACTTGACCTGTCAGGCTGATGGATTAGTGAATGACAGCAGGGTTTCATATTTTTTTAAAGGAGAGGTGGTAGAAATAAGTCAATTTAGGCCTTTTGCTGTTTGGCACCACCTTGCCCTCCTGCTTCCTCACGCTTTGCAGAAAAGCTGCCTTGTGCAGCCAGGTCACTGCAGCCTGGGGGATGATGTCACTTGGTCCTGGGAAAAGTGGGGGAACATCACCCCCAAATCCACATAATGCATGGAGGGGGGTGAAGAGAGGTAACAGAGGAGGGCAGAAGAGTGCTGTTTGTGGGTGGCATGAGCATGTACAGTAACATCACCGTGGCTTGCCTTGTCTTCCTATAGGGCCATCCCCCTCTGTAATATCTTTATTCACCTCCCAGGTTGTCAGAGTGCCCCCTACCATGTTTCTTCCTCGACAGGGCTTGTAGCAACATGTGTGAATGCATGTGAGCACTCAGATTTTCCTCAGCCAGCTCCCCCCTTCCCCCTACCACATCAGCTTTATTTGGAGAAACAACCTTATTTGTCCTCTGTGCTGTACTGGGACTCAGATGCTGCGTGTGTGCACATGGGTTGGAAGTGGTGTGCGCAACTTGTCTCTCGAGTAGGTCATTGCAACAGATGCCAAACAGATAATGGTTTTGTGAAGACAATATACTTCCCGAGGATACAGATGTTCTGATCAAGGATCTCTGTGTGTGTGTGCGCGTGTGCTTGCTTCTCTCAGGGTATCTCTGTGTGTGTTTGCTGAGGCCACAGTAGGCTTTTAGAAGAGGAACATTGCTATTTGTTAAATTTCAGGTGGACAGCAATGGGCCACCATTTCCACCTCACTGCCAGTCTGCCCATTGTCTCCTCCTGGGCAGAGGCTCTTTTTTTCCCAGAGTTGACTTGCCTAGCTGATTTTGGGCAGAGTGGGGTGCAGTTTGTGGGCTATAGTGGTTTGTGAGAGTAAAGGAATAAAAGAAGATGGGTTGAGGACACTGGATTGAGGACACTGAAAAGCAAGTAAGCCAGTGCTAGAGGATTTGTGGAGGTTCTGGTGCAGCTGGACATGGCTACATAGTCACCCACGGGTGGGATGCTCTTTGCCTTGCTCAAAGGCAATGGTCAAAAATGAAATTAAGGAGGTCCCTGCTGACACAAGCAGTGGCCTATAGATAGAGGCAAGTGTAAAGGAACATATTGCCTCTTTCAGCAGAGCACTGGCTAGAGCTAGAAATAGTGGCAACTTGGGCTGGCCTCATGTTTCCCACCAAACCCACCCTCACTATCGGTGTGGGTGAGGAACACCATGGCAGGATGAGAAGCCCAAGAGCTTGTCTCTGTTTCCAGATGGCTGCATTCTCCATCTCTGAGCTGCAGTGATGGTCTGTGTGTTCCTGACAGGGTGACTGAAAGGCTGATGTCTGGGCACTGGCTGGACGTAGGCTGGCCCTGCGGCACAGTGTGAAACCTGGGTTGTGATGGGGGGCTCCTTGACAGTCAGCAAGG